AGATTCTCTATCATTTCATAAGAAAAAATACATTTTTTTTCTGAAAAATTTTCGACCCTCGGAACGAGTTTAACCCTTGCTGGGTTTCGGCCGTACTAGTATGGCTGACGCACCAGGGTTTTTGATGTACTAGTACACCTAAATTCTAGCTCCCTCAAATCTAGTGAGAGAAAGCTGGTAGGCCTACATATGTAAGAATGGGTCTATGTGGTCAGTGTGCGCAGTATAAAAAAATCCTGCAGCACACAGTGCATAATGAGAAAAAAAAACTTTGACCGTGTTTATGGATTAAAACAGCGACTTTGCACTGTATTTTTGTATGGTATTTATTGTTGTATTCTAGTTTTCCTGGTCTCATTCTATAGAATGGAAGACATATTACAGAAATTGAGATAATTTTGACTGATTTTACAATGAAAAGTACCTTGAAATTGAGCTCAAAGTAGTAGAAATGTTCGATTTTTACCAAAGTTCAAAAGTAAACAAATCATGCTAAGCGTCCAATACACGTCAACCGGTGAGTCTAATATTCTTTCACAAGTGGGCCGATATTATTTATACCATTTTTTACACTACTGCTGTAGTCTGCATAACAGTAAATCTTCTATTTTTTGAGAATAAAAATTCAAAGTGTAAAGCAAAAGAATGTAAGAGGGGTGTTGGGACATGACTAATGAACAGAGGAGATGTCATTTTAGTGCCAGGAATGTCTTTCTTGTTTATTCTGGACCCTGTTTGGAAATTGGCATCTTTTGAAATTTGTGTGAAATTGGCAAAATTGCTAAATTCTGACCACTGTATTGTATAGGTGAAATTGGTAAATGGGTGGTTTCGTGCACTCATTCGACAGAAAAGATGGAGTTCTAGCAAAATATTCATGATTTTTGTCGACTAGTACAGTGGAATTGGCCGAAAATAGGACTCAAAGTGGGCAAAATCACCGATGTGCAAACATCGTCGAGATTGCAAACTTCGCAAGATTATAATTCCGTAAGTTTTCTATCAAATTTCATACTTTTGGTGTCATTATGATCGTAACAAGATTCTTTATCTTTTCATAAGAAAAAATAATTTTTTTTTTTTTTAAATTTTGGGCGATCCTGAGAACAAGTCTGTGAGAGGGCCCACATGTGAGAGAATGGGTCTGTGTGGTCAATGTGCACCATATAAAAAAAATCCTGCAACACGCAGTGCATAATGAGAAAAAAAAAACTCCGACCATTTTTTTTAATTAAAATTCCGACTTTGTGGTCTATTTTTGTATAGTATTTATGGTTGTATTCTCTTTTTCTTGGTCTCATTTGATAGAATGGAAAACATGTTATAGAAATAGAGGTGATTTTGATTTTCCTATAAAAAGAACCTGGAAATGGAGCTCAAAGTAGGGGAAATGTTTGATTTTTGCCAATGTTCAAAAGTAAACAAATGATGTCATTGTCCAATGAATGTCCAACTAGCCATTCTAATATGCAGTCATGAATGAGTTGATGTTATTTATACAATTATTACAGTACAGTGGACCCCCGTTTAACAATCACCTCCAAATGCCACTAATTATGTAAGTGTATTTATGTAAGTGCGTTTGTACGTGTATGTTTGGGGGTCTGAAATGGACTAATCTACTTCACAATATTCCTTATGGGAACAAATTCGGTCAGTACTGGTACCTGAACATACTTCTGGAATGAAAAAAGATCGTTAATCGGGGTCCACTGTATTACAGTAGTCTGCATAACAGTAAATCTTCTATTTTTTTGTTTGAATAGAAATTCAAAATAGAAAGCAAGAGTAATATCAGAAGGGCCTGGAGACATGACTGATGAACAAAGAAAATGTTATTTTAGGGCCAGGAATGTCTGCATTGTTCATTCTGGACCTTATTTTGAAATTGTCATATTTTTTAATTTTTGTGATATTGGCCAAATTGCAAATTTCTGACCACGTTATTGGGTAGTTGAAATCGGTAAATGGGCAGTTTCTTGTACTCAATCGATATAAAAAGTGGAGTTCTAAAGAAATAGCTACACGTTTGGTCGACTGGAACAATGGAATTAGCCGAAAATGGGGCTCAAAGTGAGCGAAATCGCTGATTTGTAAATGTCGCCGAGGTCGCTAACTTTGCGAGAGCATAATTCCGTAAGTTTTCCATCAAATTTCATACTTTTGGTGTCATTATGATCGGGAAAAGATTCTCTATCATTTCATAAGAAAAAATACATTTTTTTTCTGAAAAATTTTCGACCCTCGGAACGAGTTTAACCCTTGCAGGGTTTCGGCCGTACTAGTATGGCTGACGCACCAGGGTTTTTGATGTACTAGTACACCTAAATTCTAGCTCCCTCAAATCTAGTGAGAGAAAGCTGGTAGGCCTACATATGTAAGAATGGGTCTATGTGGTCAGTGTGCGCAGTATAAAAAAATCCTGCAGCACACAGTGCATAATGAGAAAAAAAAACTTTGACCGTGTTTATGGATTAAAACAGCGACTTTGCACTGTATTTTTGTATGGTATTTATTGTTGTATTCTAGTTTTCCTGGTCTCATTCTATAGAATGGAAGACATATTACAGAAATTGAGATAATTTTGACTGATTTTACAATGAAAAGTACCTTGAAATTGAGCTCAAAGTAGTAGAAATGTTCGATTTTTACCAAAGTTCAAAAGTAAACAAATCATGCTAAGCGTCCAATACACGTCAACCGGTGAGTCTAATATTCTTTCACAAGTGGGCCGATATTATTTATACCATTTTTTACACTACTGCTGTAGTCTGCATAACAGTAAATCTTCTATTTTTTGAGAATAAAAATTCAAAGTGTAAAGCAAAAGAATGTAAGAGGGGTGTTGGGACATACTAATGAACAGAGAATGTCATTTTAGTGCCCGGGGGGTGTCTTTCTTTTTATTCGGCCCGTTTGGGAAAATTTGGGACTTTTTAAATTTGTGTGAAATTTGGGAAAATTGCAAATTCTGACCACTGTTTGGGTTTGGAATTGGTAAATGGGTGGTTTCGTGCACTCTTCGACAGAAAAAATGGAGTTCTAGCAATATTCATATTTTGTTGACTATACGTGGAAATTGGGCCCAAAATAGTACTCAAAGGGGCAAAATACCGATGTGCAAACACGCGAGATTGCAAACTTTGCAAAATTATAATTCCGTAAGTTTTTTCCCCAAATTTCATACTTTTGGGGGTCTTTTGATCGTAACAAAAATTCTTTTTCTTTTCATAAGAAAAAATAATTTTTTTTTTTTTTTAAAATTTTGGGCGTCCTGAGAACAAGTCGTAAGGGGCCCCATGTGAGAGAATGGGTCTGTTGGTCAATGTCACCTATAAAAAAAATCCGCAACACGCATGCAAAAAAAAAAGAAAAAAAAAAACTCCGACCATTTTTTTTAATTAAAATTCCGACTTTGGGTCTTTTTTTGTATAGTATTTTGGGTGTATTCTCTTTTTCTTGGTCTCATTTGTAGAAGGAAAAAAGTTATTAAAAAAGAGGTGTTTTTTATTTTCCATAAAAAAACCGGAAATGGAGCTCAAAGTAGGGGAAATGTTTGATTTTTGCCCCAAATTTTAAAAGTAAACAAATAGTCATTTTCCAATGAAAGGGCCAACAGCCATTCTAATAGCATCAGTGAATTGATGTTATTTATACAATTATTACAGTACGTTTGGGCCCCCGTTTAAAGACACCCCAAATGCCACTAATTATTAATGTATTAGTAGTGCGTTTTAGTGTATGTTTTGGGGCTGAAAAGGGGCTAAACTACTTTACAATATTTCCCTTTTGGGAACAAATTCGGTCATACTGGTACCTAACTCTCGGGAAAAAAAAATCTTTAACGGGTCCACTGTATTACGTAGTCGCAAACATAAATCTTCTATTTTTTTTTAATAGAAATTCAAAATAGAAAAAAGAGTAATATCAAAGGGGCCGGGGAAAAGACTGTGAACAAAGAAATGTTTTTAGGCCAGAATGTCTCAATTTTTATTTTGGACCTTATTTTAAATTGTCATATTTTTAATTTTTTTTTTGAAAATTTGGGCCCAAAATTTCAAATTTCTGACCACGTTTTTGGTATTGAAATCGGTAAATGGGCAGTTTCTTTACCAATCGTATAAAAAGTGGAGTTTAAGAAATGCTCCGTTGGTCACTGGAAAAAAGGGAAATTTGCCGAAAAGGGCTCAAAGTGGCGAAATCGCTGATTTGTAATGTCCCCCCGAGGTCCTAACTTTGCGAAACTAATTCCGTCAGTTTTTCCCTCAAAATTTTTGTTTTTTGGTGCTTTTTAACGGGAAAGATTCTCTATCATTTTATAAAAAATTTTTTTTTTTTTTTTTTTTAAATTTTGCGACACCAGGAGACACCTCAGGATTGGGGGTTGCGACAGTCAAAAGGTTAACCATAAAATTTTGTTCAAAATAACAAAATCTTATGGTTAATTTCATTTGACCGTATAGTATGTGTGTAGTAAGGGCCTATTTTTTTATAAATGTTCATCGATAAATGTGATCTTTTTTTATTAACACATCAGCCGTATTACTGTCTTGCCAGGGGTGTACCAACACTACATTTAAATAACTGCAACATTCCTCCATCCGTCCTTCAGAGCATGGGCACTGTACTTCCCACCTCCAGGACTCATGTCCAGATAACCAGTTTCCCTGAATCCCTTCATAAATATTACTTTTGCTCATGTTCCATCAGCTTGTCAAGTCATAAAAACCATTTGCCTCCACTTGTGTCTTACATTCTGATACGTACTTGCTGGAAGTCTAAGCCCCTTGCACACACAACCTTTTACTCCCTCCCTCCAACCCTTCTTAGGATGACCCCTACCCTGCCTTCTCTCTGCTAGAGAATATATGCCCTCCAAGTCATTCTGTTTTGTTACAAAATCTTTGTGAAAAATAATTTCTAATGGTGAGTTCACTATATTAATTATTTACTGTATAAAGAAGTTTAGTATAAATTATTTTTCTTGTTTTTCAGATGGATTTCTTCTCTGAAGTAGAACTTTAAGTAAAGTTATGGTACAGATTAACTTTAAGGATTTTATGCCAACATTTTATTGTGAACTGAAAGGATTTCATCCCAGCTGAATAACCAAGAATATAATGTTTTCCATGGGAGATTCACCAAGACATAAGGATTCTGATAATCAGATGGCTGCTGAGGCTCCAGAATTAGATAATCTTGAATGGATTGTTTATGATGCCAAAAGATCGTTTCAACCCGTTTCTGCTTGGCTAGAAGAGTGGGCTCCTTCAAGAGTAACCAAGTATGTATTTATTCCTACCAATTTTATTATGTGATGCTTTAGTTATTTTGGTTAAGCATATTTTTTTTAGCATGAATAACAAAATGTCTTTCCCAAAATCATACAAAACACCTGAAACATTCTACCTTGACATATACAGTCTTAGATAAAGATAAAGGTTTATTTCTTTGTAAAGGTTACAATGTGTAATCACAATTTTGGTTTGCTAAGTACAAAGGAAGTCACTATCATACCAGGGCATTTCAGGCAGACTAATCCTAATACATAGTAACTACTTAAAACTAGACAACTTAATAGTGCTTAGTAACTACTTAAAACTAGAGAAGATAATGGTGGTTAATTATTACAATTTTATTTAATACTAATGTGAGGTGGTCAAGGTGGAGGTTTATAAAAAATGATAATCTTGAAGTTGCACATAATAAAAAAAATATTACAAATAATGGTTCACGTAGTAATATTTCATGGACTGGTAGAAGTTTAACCCATAAATGGTCCAAACGTATATGTACGTTTTTACCGCTAGTGCCCCAAACGTATATATTCGTTTTATGTGTCCATGATAAGCCTGAGTCGCCTAGACATGTGAGAATGGGCGTGAGCACTCACTGTGCACCATATTAAAATAATTGGAGATGCCTGGGTACCATATGTTCTTTTTTCCTATTAAAAAACAACAATGTTTTTTTTTCTTAAAAAAGTTGGGGCAGTACGGTAGTGAACGTATATATACGTTTGGACCGTTTACGGGTTAAAAGTCCAGAGGTCACATAATGTAAGTAATTAGCAGTTGTTTTGGTTGATTTGGTTAGTATTGAGAGAGAAGATTTTTCAGTCTTTTCTCACTTAACGACGTACTCGTTTAATGACCATTTGGATTTACGATCATCTCTGACCAGTGTGCATACCTAAGTACAGTGGACCCCCGGTATTCGATATTAATCCATTCCTGAGAGCTCATCGAATACCGATAATATCGAAAACCGAATTAATTTTCCTCATAAGAAATGATGAAAATCAAATTAATCCGTGCAAGACACCCAAAAGTATGAAAAAAAAAATTTCCTACATGAAATATTAAGTTTAATGCAATAGAATAATTACAATAACAATAAAATAATTGACACTTACCTTTAATGAAGATCTGGTGATGATTGATGGGATGGAAGGAGGGGAGAGGTGTTAGTGTTTAGAAGGGGAATCCCCTTCCATTAGGACTTGAGGTAGCAAGTCCTTTTCCAGGGTTACTTCCCTTCTTCTTTTAATGCCACTAGGACCAGCTTGAGAGTCACTGGACCTCTGTCGCACAACAAATCTGTCCATAGAGCTCTGTACCTCCCGTTCCTTTACGATTTGTCTAAAATGGGCCACAACATTGTCATTGTAATTGTCATTGTCATTGTTAGGGTGATTTTCATCCATAAAGGTTTGCACTTCAACCCACTGTGCACACATTTCCTTAATTTTTGAAGTAGGCACAAAGTATTCGACAACTGGTATAGGCTTCTCAGGGTTAGCCCCAAACCCTTCAAAATCTTTCTTAATTTCCATACTAATTCTCACCCTTTTTACCACAGGGTTGGCACTAGAAGCTTTCTTGGGGCCCATGGTGACTTACTTTGCAGAAACAAGCACCAAACACAGTGATAATATGGATAATATGGAATGTACCGAATGTATCCTTAGATGCGCGCACACTGGCTGGCTTGTAAACACTGGCACACAAGGGGCAGTTCAGGCCACATGTGGACAGGTCTCGTGTACGAATCGTATCAAATACTGGGTTTTCAATCGAATACCGAGGAAATTTTTTTGCGATATAATGCATCGAATACCGGATTTATCGAATACCGATGCCATCGAATACCAGTGGTCCACTGTACGTACAGTGGAACCTCGTTTTTTGGCCACTGTGTTTATCGGCCAATTCGTATTTAGGCCAGTTTTTTGGCGGAAATTTTGCTCCATATTTTGGCCATTGCTTCGTATATTGGCCATATTAGATGCGTTAGCTCGCCTCCCGCCGGGACACCGCTGCGTAGGTGAGTCAGTCTCCCTGTGTCTCTAGGTGAAAGTGCATATACGCATTCATCCAAACATTTCCAGGACATCCATTGGTTTCTGTGCTTCTTTATTAAGTGCAACTGTGAAATAAGCCACCATGGGCCCAAAGAAAATTCAGAGTGCCAGCCCTTTGGTAAAGAAAGTGAGAAACATGATGGAATTTAAGAAAGAAGTTATTGAAAAATATGAGAGTGGTGTTTGAGTGCTAGAACTTGCCAGGCTGTATGGGAAATCAAATCAACAGTCACTTCCATCCTGGCAAAGAAAGTAGAAATCAAGGAAGCTAATGTTGTGAAAGGGAGTTTAGCAGGGAGACAGGGAGTGTAATAGGCAGGCAGAGAGTGTAGCAGGCATGCAGGGAGTGTAGCAGGAATGCAGGGAGTGTAGCAGACATGCAGGGAATGTAGCAGGCAGGCAGGGAGTGTAGCATGGAGGGAGGGAGTGTAGCAGGCCAACCTCCTAGAACGGATTACGGCTAAAAAACGAGGTTCCACTGTAATGTATATTAGAGCTGATTTCCGCTATTGTATTAATTACAGTATACAGTACACTACTGTATAAAGATTTAAAAATATACTTAAAATGTTATAAATGGTGCAAAGGTGATATTAAAACAATACTGAAAGATGGTTGACACAAACCCACTACCAGTATAGTATGCTTCTCGCTTGACAATCAGTTCATTTACCAACCTTCTCTTAGGAACGGATCTCTGTCGTTAAGTGAAGAGAGACTGTATATCCAATGATGTATTCTTTTGTGATCTCACTTTCCTACAATATGGTACTGTGGTCACTAATTTAATCTTTTCCAGACATTTTAATTCCAGTAGACTGTTATTTAACACGGTAGTTACATTCCTGAAAACACCATGTTAGGTAAAAAACTGTGTAAGATGAACTGAAGAACTTAGGGGAAAAATAGGGTTAGGTTCCTGAGAGCCCCAAAAAAGCCAAACAACTTTTTTTAGGCCTCCACATTTTACAAAAATAAAAGTGAATATGTAATTGCAGTTCATTGCTGTGCTGTATAATGTTTTTACTGCTTAAGACTGCAAATGTAACAGAAATAATAGTATTTCTTACCTTAAATTGTGAGTGCTGGTGTTTGTGGATGATTGTGAAGAGAGTGGAGAGTTATGTTGTGGTCCTACTGGTCTGAGGTGGATGGTAGAGGTTCTGGTACTGAAGCTGATGGTTGTACTGGAGTGTCTAACTTTGTCATTCAATCAAGTCGTTCAGTAAGTCAGTTAAGTGATTCAGTAAGTCAGTCAAGTGATTCAGCAAGTCAGTCAAGTGATTCAGCAAGTCAGTCAAGTGATTCAGTAAGTCAGTCAAGTGATTCAGCAAGTCAGTCAAGTGATTCAGTAAGTCAGTCAAGTGATTCAGCAAGTCAGTCAAGTGATTCAGTAAGTCAGTCAAGTGATTCAGTAAGTCAGTCAAGTGATTCAGTAAGCCAGTCAAGTGATTCAGTAATTCAATCAAGTTGTTCAGTAAGTCAGTAAAGTGATTCAGCAAGTCAGTCAAGTCGTTCAGTAATTCAATCAAGTCGTTCAGTAAGTCAGTCAAGTTGTTCAGTAAGTCAGTCAAGTCATTCAGTAAGATATATCATTCAGTAAGTCAGTCAAGTCATTAAGTCAGTCAAGTCATTCAGTTAGTCAAATCATTCAGTAAGTCAGTCAAATCATTCAGTAAGTCAGTCAATTCATTCAGTAAGTCAGTCAAGTCATTCAATAAGTCAGTCAAGTCATTCATTTAGTCAATCAAATCATTCAGTAAGTCAGTCAGGTCATTCAGTTAGTCAGTCAAATCATTCAGTAAGTCAGTCCATTCAGTAAGTCATTCAGTAAGTCAGTCAAGTCACTCAGTAAGTCAGTCAGATCATTCAGTTAGTCAGTCAAATCATTCAGTAAGTCAGTCAGATCATTCAGTAAGTCAGTCAAATCATTCAGTAAGTCAGTCAAATCATTCAGTAAGTCAGTCAAGTCACTCAGTAAGTCAGTCAAGTCACTCAATAAGCAGTCAGTTAGTCAGTCACTAAGTCAGTCAGTCAGTCAGTCACACAAACTTATCTTTACCTTTTTTATGTGTACAAAGTAATACTTCATTATGGCCACAGGATGTCTTATCCAATATCTTTGTTTCCTTGCCACTTTGTGCAACACTGGTATGCTTACTGAGTGTCATGATTGCTTGGTAGATACAAGATATAGCAATTAAAAGATGAAAAAACAATTCACAATCACAGGCTTGTAGCAGAGAAGTTGGAGTGGACAACTATGAAGTATGAATGCTTTGATGGTGGGGTGGTGCCGGGGGATGGCTGGGGACGGCGGGAGGTCTCCTCAGCTGAACCACAACAAGGCGGATGCTTGAGGAAAAGGGAAGTTTTTTTTTTTACCTTCCTGCAAATTGAACCATGTTAAATTCATCATACGATGTGTTACATAAAATTGTGCCGCAATTCTTCAAGCGTGCTATACTCAAATTGTTCCAAATAAACTTGTGCTAAATAACGATCTACTGTATTTCCAAATACTGTATAGTACTATTAAACAGAAGCATCACTTTTTGGCTGCTATTTTTGGGTATTCTCTACTCTCTATTGGGACCCCAGTGACTGTCACCTATTGTTGGAGCAGATTTGTAAGTTTTGGAGATCCTATGAGCCACACTAGCCAGGACATTATCCATTCAGTAATGTAGTTGCTACAGTCAGGTGAGAATTTAAGGATATACACTCATTCAGTAATGTATTTGCTAGGGTCAAGTGAGAATTTAAGGATATATACTCGTTCAGTAATGTAGTTGCTAGGGCCAAGTGAAAATTTAACCCTTTGAGTGTCGCAAGCCCCTTTCTGAAACTGTCATTGTATGTCGAAAAAATTTTGGAAAAAAAAAAAAAAATTCTTATGAAATGTTAAAGAATCTTTTCCC